AGTCATCAGGTAAATACAAATCAAAACCACCATGAAATACCATTTCTTACCCACTAGGGTGGCTAGAATCAAAAAGTCAGATAAACAATGGTGTTGGTGAAGATGTGGAGGAATTGGAACCCTCATACACTACTGACAGGAATGTAAAAGGGTGCAGTCGCTTTGGAAAACAGTCTGGCAGTTCTTCAAACGATTAAACACTGAGTTGCCATATGGCCTAGCAACTCCACTCCTAGGTATATACCCAAGAGAAATGAAAACAAATGCCTACACAGAAACTTGTACCAAAGTTTCATAATAGCAGCATTATTCATAATAGCCAAGTAGTGGAAACTACCCAAATGTCCATTAACAGATAACCAAACAAAATGTGGTCTATTTATACAATGTAATATTATTCTGCACAAAAAGAAATAGAGTACTAAGACATGCTACAATATAAATGAACCTTGAAAACATTAAGTAAAAGAAGTCAGTCACAAGAGATGACATCCTATATGATTCCAATCATATTAAGGTCAAGAACAGGAAAATCTGCAGAGACAGGGCGGTTGCTTTGGGCTGGGCATGATGGAAGGAAAGAAGGGTGGGGGGCGGGAAGTGTACTAGTCACTGTTCTCCAGAGAAACAAAACCAATCCAATGTGAATATGAATAGGAAGAGAAAGAGATTTATTTTAAGGAACTGACTCATGTGATGATGGAGGCTGGTAAGTCTAGACCATGCAGGGTGGGGACCCAGGATGAGCTGATGTAGGTCCAGTCCCAAGACAGATGCCTTCCTGCTGGGGAGAGGTCAGGCTTTTGTTCTATTTAGGCCTTTAATTGATTGGATGAGGCCACCCATGCTATGGAGGACAATCTGCTTTACTCAAAGTTCACTTATCTAAATGTTAATCTCATCCAAAAACACTTTCATAGAAATATCCAGAAAATGCGTCACCACATATCTGGGCACTATAGCCTAATCAAGTTGATGTACGAATTAACCATCACAGGAGTGACAGATAAAGAGTTTCTTCTTGAGGTGATGGAATGTTCTAAAACTGACTGTGGGAATGGTTGAACATGTCTATGAATACACAAAACATTAAATTGTACAGTTTAGGTGAGTTGTATGTAAATGATCTCTCAATAAATCTGTTTTTAAAAAAGACTACCACAGTAATTCTCATATCCTTGAACACAAAAAAGTTATAACCACGATTTTTTTAAAAAGTACTTTCATCCATAGACCTCCAGGGAAACACGAATCGCTGTCTGGAGTGGTGATCAATCAGTTAAGCAACAGATATTTATTTACTAAGCCTTATCTTACGCAGTGCTGAATACATAAACAGCTCTCAGAAGTACACACTGATGGATTGATTCCTTGCCCCAAAGAGGAATCAGATGATTTTCCTTGTGGTTTATAGAATAAAATATACTCTATTCACTTTCCAGGGGTTCAGAAAAAGTAAGAGTACTGTGCTGCTATTGAAGACTCCTGGAAATTCTATGCAAAGGCCTTTGAGGAACACAGAAATTCAATCGCTGATCTATGTAGGCTTGTAGTTTATTTAGCAAGACATACTACTGGGCACAAAACAAAAACTATAAGTAAAACCATTGTTTAATCTTAAAACAACTGTAGCTAAGGGGTTCTGTTTTTCAGAAAAAAAAAATAAGAGAAATACTTACCAATAAATATTTAATGAAATCCTACCATTCATATAAATGCATGCACATATACGCGCAAATATTCATGCATATTTCCAAAGGCCAGAAAATTATTTGCAATTTAAGCCTTAATCCTGATCTCATCACTAACTAGTTTATTTAGCAGTCTCTATAGATTACATTCTTTACATATCAAGCATACCACACAGGATTCTAATGAAAAATTAAGATGTTATATGCAAAAGGATTAAACTTCTTTGCCATATAATTCCAAATTTTTATGAGTATTGCTATTTTATATATATGGAAGCAATTTTACAGAAATAATGACATCAAAACCAAGTCAAAATATACTGCATCTTGTATAAAGAATGTCTTGTGTAAAGAATGTCAAGACTAGAAAATTTCAGGTATAATCTATAAAACACTATCACATATCTCACTGATTTTTCCAACAGCCCTGAGAGACAGTTGTTGTTATTATGTAATTCTCACTCTCTATATACATAAACAGATTTAGAGAGATTAAATGACTCATTAAGGATATCCAGGTAATAATGTCAAAGCAAAGAATCAAACTCAGGTTTTCGGGGTTTCAAATCAAAATTTCTACAATACAATTGCTAGTTCAAGCCAAGAACTAGGATAACTCAGAATGGATTCCATGTTTATATACTAGGTATCAAAATGAAAATTTTAAAGAGCAATTAGAACAGCAGTAAAGGCAGATTTTAAGTTCTGTACCAGCTTAGGCAAAAAATATATATATAACATCCTTGCAAACTGCATGTTTTGATTTTTCTCTACTCCTTTCTACCATCAAAGCAATGTATCTAGGAGAAAGGAATTTCAAATTCCTACACTCTTGTAGGTCTTTATGTTCTGCGAACTGTGGAAATATATACTGTTTAATTTTTAAAAGTATTTAGGTCTCACTTTCACAAAGTAAAAGGTACGTCTTAAAACAATAAATACTTAAATGCAGAATTTTCTCCATAACAAACTGAACCTATTATCAAAATGTAGTCTCTTTGGGAAACCACAAGTGGTTTATGTTAACCCAAAGACGACTAAGTATGTGTGCAAATTAGAACAATCCAACTTTTAATTTATCATGATAATGAAACGGGCATCAGCCAGAGTTCCATTATACATTTCTGACTCCTACAATCATAAGGACAACCTTTGATTTATGTTACAATTGAGAATGAGCCTCAAGACATTGTACAGGAAATTAATGTTTGGCTTTGGTATTCTCACAGCTTGTAGCAATACTATAGTTGATAGCATAAACCAGAGAACCTATTAAGCAGCACATCCAATTTGTCTGTGGTTCCATTGCCCTCTAGTGGCTATTTTAAAACTAGTTATTAATAGTAGTTTTGGCCTTCAAGTCAGCAGCGGTTCTCAAAGCAGGGTGGGCAGACCAGCAGCATCAGCAACATCTAAGAACTTCTTAGACATAGAAATTTCAGGCCCCACCAAGGTCTACTGAAAAGAAACTGTGAATGGTGCCCAGAAACCTAAAAGACCTTCTAGGTGATTCTAAGGGAAGTATTCTATTCATATTTCAAGTAGACATTAAAGTATATAGGTACATATGAGGGTTAATTTTATGTGTCAACTCAACTGGGCTAAGGTTGGCCCGGATAGCTGGTAAAACATTATTTCTGGGTTTGTCTGTGAGAGTATTTTTTCTCAAAGAGATAGCACTGGGATTGGTGAACTAAGAAAAGAAAATGCCCGCCCCAGTGTGGGTGGTACCATCCAATCTGCTGAGGGCCTAAATAGAACAATAAACGCAGACAAAGGGCAAAATCGCGCTTTCCGCTTGAGCTGAGAGATCCATCTTCTCCTGCCCTTAGACACTGGCGCTCCTGGTTCTCGCCTTCAGACTCAGATCAGGCATAAATCATCAGCCCCACGATTCCCAGACCTTCAGATGTGACTGAAATATACCATGAGTTTTCATGGTTCTCCAGCTTGCAGACCACAGATCATGGGACTTTTTGGCCTCCATAACCACATGAGCCAATTTCTCTGGAGAACGCTGACTAGTACAGTATATATGAGTGTATATATGTGAGAGTATTGTTCATAATTATTCTTATGCTTTTTCTAAATTTCAAAAGGCCTTCAGTATGTGCAGAATAATCTAGAAAAAAAGCTTAAAATTAATTGAGGAGATTTAAAAGTGCTATATATCCATGACAATTACATAAAAAATAATGGGATAAAATAAATTTATTAGATAGTAAACTTTCATTTTAAGAGCTTGCTAACTAGCCAAGACAGCTGAACAGGATCTACCTATTTGTTTCTTGGCCATAAATCGATGAAGAAATGTTTGTTGAATGGAATGACTATTCAATCCAGGTTTGTCTGGGACATTCAATATTCAAGCTCTTTAGTAGGTGTGTATATTGTTCTCTAATCATTTTTTCCATTACATAAAGTGCTATGTTCCATGTTCATTATAGCATTATTCACATTAGCCAAGAGGTAGAAGCAACCCAATGATAGATAAATAAAGAAAATGTGGCACATACATACAATGGAATCCAACTTTTAATTTAGCATGATCATGATATGGGCATCAGCCAGATTTGGCCTTTAAAAAGAAGGAATCCTGTGACACGCTACAATGTAGATAAACCTTAAGGACATTAAGCTAAGTGAAATAAACCATTCACAAAAGAGACATATACTGTGCAATTCCACTTATATGTGATATCTAAAGTAGTCAAAGCCACAGAGACAGTAAGTAGAACTGTGATTGCCAGGAGCTGGAAAGAGAGAGAAACGGGAAGCTGTTGTTCAATGGGGACAGAGTCTCAGTTTTGGAAGATGAAAAGTTTTAGAGATGCAAAGCAAAGTGAATATAGTTAGCACTACTGAACTGCACACTAAAAAGTGGCTAAGATGGTGAGTTTTGTTTT